TGCTACAATGAAACAATTTTATTCATGTTTTTTGTATTTATAGATATAAACTCTGAAAATACTTGTCACATGAATATGCAGATGTGAAAACAATGAATTTGTGGCATCAGTGTCACTCGATTCTTTGAATTCCTCTGGGGTATGGGCTAAAAATGACATTGTGCTCTATCACTGAAAATTATTTTTAATGATTTATCAGCCATGGCTAAATTAGGTGCTCCTTGGATTTTATGCAAAGCATGGAATCAGAAACCATTTTCTATAGAAAAAATTTTGTGTACCACATAATATTACTTTACATTTGTTTTTTTGAGTCTAGAGATTTGTGCATGTAAAGTCAATGCTGTGTAAGTTCTGATGGATGACATAGACGCCTTCTGTCTTTGTAAACTCGAACAAGAAGGTGTATGAGAGGGGAAGTGGAAGATGAAAACCAGTGTAACCACATGGTACATATATTGTAAAAGTATATGTGGACCTTACCATCCAGGAGGCATGTCTTAAGTGTTTCTGTCCCCCATGTACGTGTTAACAAATTAGAGACTTAAGCCCTAGAGAATTCCTGGGATTTCAACCTCAGACAAAAGGAGTGTGACCAGTGCATCCTGTGGAGGACACAAGTCCAGAGACCCTGTGTGTCTTGCAGATAAATAATACCTATCCCCATCTACCATCCTCCTCTACCCTGAGTTCCAATATTAAGTATTTAGGACTTAAAATCACAATAACAATCACTTAGAGGTGACCATAAAACAATAAAATATAGAATTAAAATCATGATCTCTTCATAACTCAGAGAAATTCCAGCGGAACCAGAGCCAAATTCTGAAGCACACTCTGTTAACATTTAGGATAAACAAACATTCCTCATTGGCAGAGTCAGTTAGATTCACTTTGATATTTGACTTTGCGAATGAGGCAATTTATTTTGTTTGACTTATTCCTCATATTTTTCCCTATTTGTTACATAAGTGAAGTAGCTTACGTTTACTGCCAGACACTGTGCTAAGCATTTTTCTTGTATTAATCTATTTCTCCTAACACAAATCCTATCAGGTAGTTGCTATTATTATCACACTTATTTTACAGATGAAGAAACTGAGGCTGAGAGAATCAGCACTGTGTTGATGTCCCTGTAAGTAGAAAGTGCCAGAGCTGAGCTTGAACTCGATAGTCTGGCCGTAAGTTTGGGCTCTTCCCCACTGATCAGTAAATGAATACATTCTAATTTTGAAAGGTCCAAACAGCAGTTCAGAACTCAAAACAAAGGGTAAGACTGCCCAGTTAAGATTCTTCTGTGCGCTGGAGTGAACTTGTAGAATCATTTGAGAATAGTTGACTTCTTTAAAGCTTTTAATATTTCCTTCAGCAACAAGGTGTGTGCTGCTGTTTTTTTAGATTCCTTTTTATATCTGTGAGTAAAGTTTCATGATTTTATTCTTAAGGGTTTGCATATTTCCATTTATGTATATTTCAACATGTTATTGTTGCTACTGTTCCTTATATTGCCAATGGATCACTTTTTCCGTTATGTCACATATGGTAATAGCAAGTTTATAGGAAAGTGATAGATGTTTATATGCTGGTGTACATAATGAACTTTTATCAGTTCTAATAGTTTTTTCAGTAGATTATCTTAGATTTCCCTGATAGTTGATCAATTATCTATATATAGTGACCAACTCATTGATTCATTTTATTCATATGATTTTTTTGTTGTTGTTTGAAGAGTTTGTTTTTAACAAGATGTTTCTCTTCATTTTTTATAGTCTTTATTTGTTTTAGAGCAGTTTTAAGTTCACAGAAAAATTGAACAGAGAGTCAAGAGAGTTCCAGTACACCCCTTACCTCTGTACATGCACAGCCTCCCCCACTGTCAACATCCCACACTTGATGGTACATGTGTTACAACTGGTGATCCTATACTGACACAACACCATCACTCAGTCAATAAGTTACATTAGAGTTTACTCTTAGGTTGTACATTCTATGGGTTTTGACAGACGTATGATGACATGTATCCAGTATCGAATCATACAGCATAGTGTCACTACCCTGAAAATCCTCTGTGTTCTGCCTATTCATCCCTCTCTCCTCCCTGACCCATGGAAACCTCTGATCTTGTGACTGTCTGCATAATTTTGCCTTTTCTAGGATGTCATAAGGTTGGAACCATATAGTATGTAGCTTTTCAGGTAGGCTTCTTTCACTTAGTAATATGCGTTTAAGGATATCATGTCTTTTCATGGCTTACAGTTCATCTTTATTGGAGCAGAATTCCATTGAATTTTAGAACTATATTCCATTGTCTGGATGTACCCACAGTTTCTTTATCCATTCACCTACTGAAGAACATCTTGATTGCTCCCAAGTTATGGCAATGATGAATAAAGCTGCTATAAACATCACGTGCAGGTTTTTGTGTGGACATAGGTTTTCTGCTCCTGTGGATAAATACCAAGGAGTGCAATTGCTGGATTAGGTTGTAAGAGTGTGTTTAATTTTGTAGGAAACTGCCTAACTATCTTCCAAAGTGGTTGTACCATTTTGCATTCCCATCAGCAATAAATGAGAGTTCTTGTTGGTACAAATCCTTGCCAGCATTTGATATTGTCGTAAATTATCTTTTTTAAAAAAGGAAAGAAAAAAAAGAGTTGAAGAGAGAGCGATGAAGGAGCTAGGATGAGGAGTAACTCGAAGAATTCAATTGAGTCAGAAACTGAGAGGCAAGCAGCTGAGATAGAATTTAACTGTCATCCACCTCCTTTCCTTCTGACATGTCCCTGCTACCAGGTATCCCAACTGAAAGTGCCACTCCATTGGTTTACCATTCACATACCATCCGTGCCTGAGCTCGACCTATGGTCTTCCAAACTATGCAATTTGAGCAAGTTTCTTACTTTCTGCATGTTAGTTGACTCAACTGATATAATGGGAAATATAATAGCTTACAGATTTGTAGCAATTATTGAATGTGATAAATTGTTTATACACATTGTCTGACCATAACTAGCAATCAAAACGTATTGCTACTCCTTTTATTATCACTATTATTATTACCTACAGAAAGTTTTGCAACCCAAAAGACCTGTATGGAGGATAACAGTGTGTTTCCAGATATTATCAGATCACTGTTATTTTGATGACTTGATTTCTATTGAACATTATATTCTCCCTCCCCCTACTGAGTTTAGGCAACCACCATCTACTCTCTGTTTCTATGAATTTGACTTCTCTAGATCTTCTTACAAGCGGAATCATACAGTATTTGTCTTTTTGCGACCGGCTTATTTCACTTAGTGTACTGTCCTCAAGGTTCATCCATGTGGTAGCACATGACAGGATTTCCTTATTTTAAAGCTGAATATGAATAATATTCCACTGTATGTAGGTACCACATTTTGTTTATTCATTCCTCTGTCTATGGATGCTTGGGTTGCTTCCTCCTCTTGGCTATTGTGGATAATGCTGCTACGAACAGGGATAGGCAAATATGTGTTCAAGAACCTGATTTTAATTCTTTTGCATATATACTCAGAGGTAAACTTGATTGATCGTATTGCAATTCTATTTTTAATTTTTTGAGGGACCCCCAGGCTCTTTTCCTTAGCATCCGTATCATTTTACTTTCCCACCAAAAATGCACACGTGTTCCTATTTCTCCACATCCTTGCCAACACTTGTTATTTTCTTTCTTTCTTTTTTTTTTTTTTTTGATTGTTTGTCATCATAATGGGTATGAAAAACCCATGTGATTTAGACTTGAGATCTGAAACACAGCAAGAAAGCACTGGGGCAAAAAATCTAGATGTTTCTCACCTCACCTTTTCATTCTGCCGCCATTGCCCATAGAGTAAAACAGAAAATCTCCTTGATTAGGCCCAGCCTGTCTCTCCAGTCACTAAGCCTTCCCTATTCCACCATGTTCTACTGTATGTTTCAGGGTAAGCTGGGTTCCTGATGTTCCCTCAACTAGCCACGTGGTTGATGCAGTCTCCTCTTCTGTCATGCTATTCTCTCAGCATCCCTCCTCCAAACGTTTCTCCATGTCAAAATTCTATATATTCTTGAGTGCCACTCACATATGCTCCTCTATATAACCAGCTTCACTTCCTAATGCCTCTGCTCAGAACTGTCCACACCTCCCCCTGTATTTCCAGCGAGCATTCTGCTCATGGTTGGGAGAGGTGAGGGCGAGCCTCTATGGGCTTCTCTACTGCGGGGACCGTGAGTATTCAAAAAGTGTGATCATCCTAATTGACAAGTAAAACTAAAGACGAGCTTCTTTTTTTTTTTTTTTTTTATCAATTTAGAGCTTGATTTGATTTCAAATCTCTTGTTATTTTTGAAACATTAGACTAGAGGAGGAAATTAGTAGTTAAAGAGGTCCTCTTCCTCTTCGAACTGTGTGTTCTTGGGATCCTGAAAACCACTGATTTCCTTCATAATTGTCACCATGCTACTAACCTTTCTCCCTCAACTGCCCAAAGAAAAACGTGGCATAGCAGGCATCACTTTACACTAAAGATGCACCTTAACCAAGTTAGTGGTGTGTTAATTCACATTCATTCATTTACTCAAGGAATATATGCTTATCTTCTTCTCTGTGCCAGGCACTGTGCTAAGTAAAAATGAGCAAAACCAGACATTGCTCTGAAATTAAGGAGCTAAATTCCACGGGGGCTCCCATCAGTTAACTCATTATACATTTGTAAAGCCACAACCCGGGTGATTGCTACAAAGGAGAGGAGCATGGTGCCAGCAATGTCTATAAATGAGAATTTTGACCAGGTCGTTAGAGACTGCGACACAGATGATGGCATCAACCCTCAGTGAGAAAGGGAGGGCTGGAAACCAGACCTTGTGATCTACCTCATGCCATGTGGGCAGGACCAGTGAGGATCTCTAAGTACAAATAGCCCTGGGCTCCCCAGGCTGCTGAGTCCAGCTCCTAATTGCTCATCGTATGCTATAGCTGAAAGCTCAAAGAAAAATAAACCATGAGGCTGTCCCTGTCTGTCCTGCTAGTCACTCTGGTCCTTTGCTGCTATGAAGGTGAGTATCATTTCTAATCAGTCCAGCACCAGCCCTGGTAAGTAACCTTCTCTGAACTAGGTGAACTTAATTAGGAGTATGAACTGACCGAAATCCAAACATTTTCCTCTACTTGTGAACTAGCCCCACAAAAGCCCAGGGCTCATTTTGTCAAATCCCAGTGCTCTGGAACTTTTACAAAAAATCATTCCCAGAAAATTTTAGGAGTTTTCCACCTGAAGCCTCATTCCTTCTATGTGATCTGTGTTCAAGACGCAGCATGACAGAAGATTTGGATGTAAATCATGGCTCTGCCACTTACCAGCACTTTGACCTAGAACAAAATGCTTAATGTCCCTAAGTCTCCTCTTGTCATTGGTTTCAGCTACTACCAAGAGTAGCTGTGACAACGGAGTGGATTGACTGTGTCAGGAGTGCAGCTCTGGGTATCGAGCAGACATCTCATAGTTCTCAGATGTCCTCCTTCCACAGTATTTTAGGTGCCCGTTGGGTCCACAGCTTTTTAACTCATAGATTCAGACTCATAAAATGATACAGCTGGAAGGGTTTTTGGAGACTTCTCAGTTCCAGGAGAGCCAATGTTCTCTGAATCTCTGAATAATAAATCTTGAAACGGGCTCTGTGAATAAGCAGCACTCAATGTGTCTACGAGTACTAATTTTCTAGGAGTACTACCAGGAATTTGAGTAGAACTAGTACAATCATTAGAGCTACAATTTCTATTTTTCTAGATTAATTCTAGCCATTAATTCAACAATACCTTTGCATGTCTTCATGCCCTCGATACTGACCCAAGTCTTCTTGAATTTCTCTCTTTCATCTGACTTTCTAAACATCCTCCTCTTTTCCTACGTGGCCTCTGATTTTACTCTCTCCAAATTCTCTGCATAGTTTGGTGTCTGAGCAGGGGTCATATCAGAGCCTAGTAGGGCACACCACAGGCTGCAGGATGTTTGCAAAAACTTGAGGGGATGGAGAATCCAGACGAGAAGTGGTTACATCAAGTCTCAGGACAATTCCAGTGGGGTCAGGAGAGAGCCACCCTTCCCACCCCTCACCCCCTCCCAGGAATTCTGTGCATCACTGCAGAATGAAAGAGCCAATCATAACTTTGTGTATAAGCTTCAAATGTGTTCAAACTGATTAGTTTTATTTTTTTTTAGCTTTTTAGCTATATCTTCATCCAATGACATAATCCTATTCTTTAGTCTCAAAATAGCATCTTTCAACATATAAATAGTTTACTTACTCTTCTGCAGATTTATTCTCCCTTCTCTGATCTCATAAAATCTGACTGTCCCATTCACTTGAAAGGTTGATTACTAAAATCTCCTTTTCCCCAATATCCAAGACAAAAGAAAGGGTCAATCCTTTGACTGCAAAACCAACTTTTTGAAATCTAGGAAAAGTGAATTTCAGCAAAGCAGGGGAGTCTTAGGAAGTACTAGGTGTACTTTACAACAGGTAAAAACTGAACCAGGCATCAGCACACCTGCTGTCCAGTCCTAGCTCTGCCACTTGCAGTATCACCATAAGGAAATCATGACCCTGAGGGTCTCACACTGTCATCAGCACACTGAGGAGATGGGAATATAAAATCCCTGGGTTTCTTATTTTAGTTCTAATATCAGAGCCATAGGAAAAATCAACTTTCCTTGTATCAATTGTATTTCTTTTTCTTCTGCTTCAGCCAATGCAGTTGTCTGTCCAGCTGTTCTTACTGATTTCACAGCCTTCCTCTTCCTTAAGGAACCTGCTTACAAGATAGAACTTAAGAGATTTCCTGCACCACCAGAAGCTTATGAAGCCAAGTTGGAAGTGAAGAGATGCACGGATAAGATCTCCTTTGGGAACAGAGTGCTAATCTCAAAAGCATTGGTAATTTCTTTCTTCTTTGTGCATAGAGGCTTCCTATCAGGTGAACATCCAGGGAGGAGGTCAGGGTGGTGCTCTTGGGGAACACAGGTGGTGGAAGCAACTACCTCACTGCTCCCGTCTGATAGCATGACCTGTCGCCACAAGGTGGATGATAACATTACACCTGCTGAACAAGACTGCACAGACCATCTGGGCATCTTCCTCCTTCTCAGGGCATCTTCCTGTGTGCCAGGTTCCCCATAGTGCCCTGAGGAGGAGAACACGTGGGGCCCCATGCAGTGATTTTGAAGGGTCAAAGCACTGCTACCCTTCCTGCCAGGGAAGTTTCCTGAGGATGAGTTCCCTCACCCAGTGGACACAGTCCCTGTGGAATCTCATGGGGAGTGTTGGGAATGTTCAAAGGGGAGACATGTAGGAGGGAGGGAACTAGCCCCTGCCCTCTGTCAGGATGGAGAGGAGGCTGACTGGGTTCTCTGCCAGCTTCTGCAGAGCCCAGGCCCACTCCTTGCACCTCCATCCACTTTTTCACTCCTCACCTATCACTCTCTTCCTTATCACAGCCAGTGGGCAGAGACCCTTGTTGTTATGTGTCCTGCAGCCACATGTGAAAGTGAAACATTTAAATTATGTCTTTATCCAGAATCAGGTCGTTAAATGTGTCTCAGCCCATCCACTGTTGGATTTAGGTCATGAGGTTCAGCTGCATATGCACATGGAAGCTGGATTCTCAGTGCTGAGAAGCACATGTGCCATCAGGTTGAATTTTAATAACCTAGGGTGGGAATCTCCTGAAAGCAGTTCTTCCCATGTCCTGTCCCTCCCCTCTCCTGATCTCTCAACCCTGTGTCCCCGTTAGAGTGAAAAAGTAGAGTCCTCTGTCCTGGGACATCAGAAGAAAGAAATCCCGGGTTTCTCTGTCCAACCCTTCACCCCTCTCCTTCCACAGAAACCTGAGTCCTACTCTCGGGTCACCTCAGGGTTCATTTGCTGGACTGTGGAAATGGTGCTTTCCTGATTTGCATGGTTGGTCGTAACTGTACCAGGTCTACTTAGGTTACCTGCACACTGACGTCCTGCCTGGTATCTTCCATTTGCCTTTTGTTGGTTGAAATTTCATCGACGTCTTGGTACAAACATCGGTCTGTGTTAACATGTCATTTCCAGGAGCAGCATGACTGCCCTCTCTTTTCTTTCTTTCTTTTTTATTTCAGGGGAAAATAGTGTTGAAGTGTGCTTATAATGATATAGCAAGTCTTCTGTAGTAGGACCTCTGTCTTTCCATGATCACCTGATCTTCGCTGGAAAATGTAAAGGTTTCAACATCCTGCTTCAATAAATCACTTGCCCTGCACTTCTCTAATTGTCTTGTCATTGTCCAACAGCCTCTGGCCTCAGGTTGGGGTGGATTTCATCATGAAGTGGGCAGGGTGTCATCTAGTTAATTTCAGAGACCCAACATCCAGTTACCCCTGGCGGCCTGAGGTGCAGGGATCACAGGAGGTATTATTTGTCAGGAATCATCCTGCGTTACTTTACCGATTTCCCCTTCACACGGCCATGAGTGAAAATGAAGTTTCAGGGTAAAAAGGAATTAAATCTTCCTGCTACTCATCTTGTATCGAGGGAGACCTGCATCCTGTCTGCCCAGTCACGCGGTTCCCAACCAGCAGCATTGCTAATATTTTGTCCTCATCATAGCCACAACCAACCTGCTTGTTCTCTTCCCGTCCCTGTGGTTTCAATCCTTTAAATTGTCCAGTGTCAGTTGTTTTCCTCTACCTCTCAATTTTTAGTAAATATCCAGGGTTAAATTTCAGTTAACTCTTTTTCACTCTGCACACCACTCGCGTGGCTCATGGATGTCTACATCACTCATCGACACCTCAGGCTAACGCTTCCTCTCTGATTCCCCCAAGATATTCAGAAACAAGCATCCAGCTGCCATCTGGACAACTCCATTCAGGCACTCCACAGTTATTTTGGAAGGAATATATAAACTTGCACACACTCTCTGCCCACAACATATTCCTCTTTCGTGTGCCCCCACCCTCCATCCTGGCTAATGGACCCACCACCCAAAGAGGCACCTGACTCAGAACACTTGCATATATCATAGGCTCCTGGTTAGTTTCCAGTGGCTGCTGTAACACACTACCACACACTTGGTGGCTTAAATCAACTTATTTTCTCAAAGTTTGGAGGACAGATTTCCAAAATTTGTAAGACTCTGCCCAAATCATTGCGTCAGGAGGGTCACACGCTCTCTGAAGGTCTAGGTGGAAATCTATTCACAGCTGCGTCCAGCTTTGATGGCTGATGCCATTCCTTGAGTTATGCCCCCATCACTCCAATCTCTGCCCCATAAGGTCGCACTGCCTTCTCCTTTTCTGAGTGTGTAAAATCTTCCTCTCGTCCTTTGTACAAAATACATGGGATTGCATTTAGAGGACACCAGAAAATTCAGGATAATTTCCCCAACTCAAAATCTGTAACTTTATCACATCTGCAAAGTCCTTTTTTTGCCATAGAAGGATAACATTACAAGTTCCAGGGATCCCTAATCCCTGGAATAGGATGTGGATAGTTTGGGGGATTTAGGGGCTACTACAACTCAACTCCCTGCTGACATCTAAAACTTCTCAAATTTCACCCCCTCCACCGCCAGAACATCACTTCTGAGCATCCCCTCCTTTCCATCCCCACAGCCAGCATCACAGTCCAGTCCTAGTCGTTCCCGGCTTGTGCGAAAGTCTCCTGAATGCTCTCCTGGGCTCTGAGATACCTTCCTGCAATATATCATCCTCATTGATGCCAAAGTGATCCCCTTGAAATAAAATGTAAATCTGATCTCAGTTCTGTAACCCTGAATTACTAGTGGGCATGTGTTTCCAAATGTTTCAAGTAAGAGGACTTATTAATCCTAAACCGACACTCAAATAATAGTAGGTGTATTTATACAAACTCTGATTGAGAAAATAGAAGGTAACAGTTATCTACTATTATCAATTATCAGCAAAACTTTTACAATGAATGTGCATTTTTACTCATATCCGGAAATATGTACATTTAAATTAGTCCTTATTTTGTGAAACACATTACATATTCAGTCTACATACTATGCTGGGTGGACACCAGGATTCATGGAGCTCTTGAAACACCCTGAGAAACCCAGATTGGAAACACTGCTGGAGGATCCAGTCCCACTGTTGGCATTGCACACCAGGACTTCCAAGACACCGTCCCTGGCCCTTCCGACCTCATCTCCCTGCTCACCAAGGATTCTGTGCTCAGCCGTAGTGGTCTACGTGCCATTCGCTTATGCATCACCGTGCACCAGGCCTGTGGTGTCCCCTTTGTCTCTATATCCTTTCCTGCACAGAACAGCTGACATCTTATCTGTAGGACATTTCACGTCTCATCCTCTGTGAAGCCCTCTCTGTGTCCCACATCCCAAAATAGACTTTGTACACAGAGAGATACTTTACACTCAACAGCACACAGAGATACACACTTTTACACACAAACACACCATACACATACACAGATACAAAACAGAGACAGGCACAAAGATGCAGACAAACACACAGTCACAGACACACAGACCGACACCCACATATGCAAAAAGACACACACACAGATCGTCACTATCAGACATGTACACAGATGCAGATGTATACACAGACACACACATGCACAGAGACAAGCACATACCTCCCTCTGTTATCACTTTATCTTTCTTTGATATAATATTCATCTCACAGAGTTGTTTTGAGCATATATTGAATAAATTAATAATATAAAACAACAAATATTATCAACCATTATTATTATCTCTAAAACACTCAGAGTTTACACGCATTGGGCACCCTTATGGTCTGGATATTACCCTGGGAGTTTTACCTGCTCTGTCTCATTTAGTCCTTACTACCCTCTAGGAAAGTAAAAGATGTTCCCACCACTGACCGTGGGGATAAAGAATGTCCTACCCGGTATTCCTCAACCCTGCTTCTGTGTTAGAATAAGCTGGAAGATTTCAAAAGCAAGTGATGCCCAGGCCCCATATATATCAATTCTCTGCACATAGAACCCATGCAGAACCCATGCAGTCCCCATTTCCTCATCTCCACCTCTTACAGGGGCAGCCACTCAGTAATAGGGAGGAGGATGATACTCTCCACGTGAGTCAGAGAACCCCCAGCGTCACCAAGGAGGTCACCTTGAGACCTTCCCTTGGCCACTTCTATAGTCCTTCATGTCTGACAATTCCAGGTTATTCATGAGTTTCACTGTTGAAAAGTCAATAAACTTGGTGTCTCATAAAAGAGAATTTTCTTCATGAGCTACTATTTAAGAGTGTGAGGTGGGGGCCGGCCTGGTGGCTTAGCGGTTAAGTGCGTGCCCTCCGCTGCTGGCGGCCCAGGTTCGGATCCCGGGCGCACACCGACACACCGTTTCTCCGGCCATGCTGAGGCCGCGTCCCACATACAGCAACTAGAAGGATGTGCAACTATGACATACAACTATCTACTGTGGCTTTGGGGGATAAAAAGGAGGAGGATTGGCAATAGATGTTAGCTCAGAGCCGGCCTCCCTCAGGAAAAAGAGGAGGATTAGCACGGATGTTAGCTCAGGGCTGATCTCCCTCACAAAAAAAAAAAAAAGTGTGTGAGGTGGGATAATGCAAGACTCCAAGGGCTGGGGTCAGGAGGAGAGAGGTTTAGAGGTTTAGTTATGGTGTAATGGGTAGAGACTTTCTGTTTGGGATGATGACACGTTTCTGGAAATTGGCAGTGGTGACGACTTGTGGAAGTACTTAATGCAACTGAATTGTATACTTAAATATGGTTAAAATGGTGAATTTTGTGTTATGTGTATTATAACACATAAAGACAGGCTGAGCTCTCCATTGAGGCAGCAGAAAGATAATATAATGGGAGCAGGGCCTGTATTTCAACACCCTGGACATGCTCTCCCAGAGCTGTTGGCACCTTAATGTCTAATTATGTCTGGTGTCAACTCTCTTTGATTTGCCTCCTGGATTTTCCCCTGTTGAAGATATCGCTAAGTTTTAAAAAACACCAGTTCACACTCACAGACTGAGTTTAACCAAGTACAAAGGATTGACTCATGCAGAGTCCTGACTTTATCCCTTGAGGCCTCTCGTTCTTCCCGTGGACAAGTCCTGTCATGCTCTGTCTGGGCTCTCCTCCTCAAGTGTCTTCTCCCTGCAGCCATCTCACTCTCTATGACAAGGTCAAAATTCTGAACACAAAGCTCTGATTTTGTCACAAGCTCACTTAAAGCAAACCTACAATGGCTCTCCATTTCCTATGACATGAAGCTCAATGTCTCCATTCAGAAATTAGAATACTCAGACCTGTATAGTAATGAAGATTCCCTCCTTTACTTCTGCGTTTTCTCTCCCAGCTACTAAACATAGTTTCTGACATTGTTAGGGCATAAGAATAGGAGAGACACAGGAAGACAAGAAAGTTCTGGATTCACTCATACTCCTGTAGGATTGGACCAGTGTCTCTGAGCCAGACAGATGCTTTCTTCTGTGGGAAACCTTCAGGGGACTTCAGAAGCCCAGATTACTAAGATCTCTTATCTCTTTATGGCTAAATGTACATTTGTAGCACAACATAGAGTTCTGAAAAATTAAAAATATGGCAACTGGACAAAATAACAAAGGATTTGGAAGACAAAGTAAAATAGTTGAACAAAAATACTGTATATGTAGTGGAAAAGATAAAGAAATAGGAGAGAGAAGAAAAGAATGTTAAAGCATCCACCCAGGATGTCCAACTATTAGGATTCCAGAATGATAGAAATTGTGGTGGGATGTAAACCACCAAAGAAATACTACAGGACAGTTCAGAAGAAAAGAAGAATACAAAATTGAAAGGCCACCCACTCCCCACATCAAAACACATTTTTGTGACTTTTTGGAATAACATCCTAAAGAAAGAAATTTCTTTCAGAAAGAAACACTAAGTCGTGTCCAAGGATGGGGAATAAAAACCAAATCAACACAAGACTGGAAGACACAAGAGAAATACTAAAAATTCAGAGACTACAACCTATAATTGTATACGAATATAACTCTATATGCAGTCAACTATCATTTAAGCATGAAGATAAATAAAGGTATTTCAGAAATGTCAATCTTCAAAAGTTTTATCTCCAATGAGCTTTCTCAGAGGATGTCAGAGGATATGTGTTATCAGAAAGAAGGAGTAGATGAAGAAAGATAAGGCGTGGAATCCAAAACACAGGGTATAACATGGTTTATTATAGATAAATCCAGAGAGAGCCATAAAAAGCAATATTTAGAACATGTCAATATCAGGCGACACGGTGAAAGAAGTTGTAGGTGAGTGTGAGACAACGTGGTGTGGATGGGAATGGACAGGCGTCTGGTGTTTCTTATTTGAACTGTTTTTCAATATTTTTCTTTTTGAACATTGCTCTTATAACACTAATTTAAAATAAACATTTTGAAAAATGTAGGAAGTTGTAAGACAAAAATGAAAAGGAAAGACAGAATTGAAGAAAATGGGCAAGAGAAAATTTGGCAATAACTAGGTTATGATGCCACAAATTATCTCAGGTCAACTTGGAGTCTCCACTGCTCCAAACTTCTGAGAAACTTGATGTATTTTTTGAAGGAATTAATGGACTTCTTTAAGGAATTAATTATCATGCTAAATGACAAGATATAAGACAGAGAACTGAAGAAAGATAGGAGGTACATTATTGAGAATGAGATTCTACCTTAGAAATTAAAGGCCCATGGAAATCCAAGGAAGAACAAAGCCCTTATGAGCTTGTCTTCTCCAGGGCGGAAGACTTTGTGAGGATGTGATGGCTGATTTGGATCTTGAAGGACATAGTGGATGAGGATGACAGAATGGAGAAAGCTTGGGGAGCAGTCTGGCAGAGGCATGGCCATGAAGCTAACCTCCGCACATTAAAAAATACAGAGCCCACACTCCTGCCGGCATCTGTCTACACTGGGGCTCCACTCACTGTCCCACTCCACTCACCACTCACCCAGTGGTGCTCCTATCTCTCACTACTTACCTTTCACCACAAAGGCAAATGCTTTTAGATATTTCTCTGGCAAGTTGTTTAGCAACATCTTTGGTCTCTACCCACATGATGCTAAAAGGACACCACCCACCCAGTCAAGACACCAGAAACATCTCTGGACACTGACAAGGTCCACAGGATGGGTGGAAGGAGGGAGTAAATCAGCCCCAGAAGAGAATGACTGCTCTAGAAGTGAAAATACTCTATTTCAGGTCGCCACACACCCCTTGTAATACCCCTAAGGACCAGAGAGTCACAATTGTCAATTCTGAGGGTTAGCAAGAAAATGTGGGCATGCAACAGGAGGAAAATTACTAACAAAGAGAGAAGATAATGGTATAGGCATCTACTGAACCATACGAGATATCATATGATTGGGGATTAAATATTTAAGCACACATTTTGTGGAAACATCAAGTTGTGTAAAGTTCATAATTTTGGTGAATGAGCCAAGCAGAATTAGCCAGAGGTGACACCTGATCCTGGCTCACCTTCCAAATCCGGCTCACCGACCCAAGTCATGAGATGGATCCGGGTAACATTGGATCAAGGCAATGGTTACTTCTGGGAAACAGGGAGACTGAGGTGTTCCAGTCTTTTATGGCATGGGCTCCAACTTCCTCCTCTCCTCACCTGTCCCTCCCCTACTGTGACTCCAAAGTCCTCATCCAGGAATAGAAAAAAGGTAATGTCACACTGATGTCTGATTTTAGTGTTGAGTTTGAATCATGCCTTTACTAATGATTCTAATTTAAATGAGCTTCTCTAGCCAAATAGATGGAATAATAAAACATAATATAATCAGTGAATTCTTTGGAAAAATCTGTCCTGAGAAGCAGTTACACAACAATTAATTAAGCAGCTACAGGTTGACTATTGTCACACAAAGAGCAGAGGTGCACAGGCCGTGCCCTCAAGGAGCATGAACAGGGAGGAAAGGGCCATGGGATCAGGTCCTGGGATGTCAGGAGAAAGCTGCACTCAGAGATCCAGGGGGTCTGGGAAACTGAGGTCCCTGGAGTTTCAGGGACCAGTAAAGGGCACAAGGAGTGGGCTATCTTTGTTGCGGCATCAGGAATGAATGAGGAGTTTCAACCCAGAGGGACTGAGTCAAGGACAGTCGGGGAAGGGAGTTCACAGGGAGCAGAGGCCTGGAGCAGAAACTGTGGGGCCTGCACAGAAATCAACCTGGAGTTCACATTGGGCAGTTGTGGGAGTTGAGGTCACAAAGATCCGTGTGAGCCATAAAGTGAAGGTCCACAACTCAAACTCAGGAGATCATTACTGTCGAGAGCTGCGTCTCAAGTCAGAACACCTGGCTCTTCATCTAGGCTCTGTCACCCATGAGCTGTGTGCCCTTGGTTAAGTCACTTGGACTCTCTTGTCTCATTGTCTGCAGCTGGGGAGAAATGATATGCCCACCTTATAAGGAAAGAGACCACACATCTCAGTTTGCTCAGGAGAATCCTATTTTATGTTGCAGCCCTGGCATTCCGTCCATTTAGTGACCTCTTTCACCCTCCTAAGTACCCCAGTTTGGCCAATAAGTTTCATCATCACCCTACTCTTTGGGTGGTTGTTGTGAAGACTAAAAGAGATTTTCACCAGCGGCTTATTTCAAGTAAGTGCCATGTAACGGTTTGCCATTCATGTTTTATTCAATTTGAAAGAAAACAAGTAAAGATGGATTGGTACTGGGTATTGAGAAAATAAACCAATAGTATGTGGAATATGTTAGAGGGAAATACAGTGCTTTATTTTCAAACTTAGGACTTTGACCTCAGATCTAAACATGAGGATCTCTAGATCTTTTAGAGAATGTAAAGTGTAAGCAGAGTCTTTACTTGTCTAATGGTCCTAGTAGTCCTTCAAGGTTGATCATATCATCCTTCTCAATTTTATAAAATTAATCACTGGCAGCTGACGTAGATAGCATCTACCTTGTGCCAGCCCTGTTCTGAGAACTTACATGTTGTAACTCATTCAGGCCTCACGACAATCCTAGGATTGTTCCCATTGTACGAAAAGACAGAGCTGTGAAATCTCCACACCAGGCTGGGCCCAAGGCAAGGGAGGCATCTGGCCTAGGAATGGTCTAGATGACCCGGACAATGGACATCTCACTGACAACCAGGATGTCCCCAAGACAAGATCTTTTCTTAAAGTTTCTGTCCTGGATAACTACCTCTCCACCCTTGGTCTAGACTTTGGCATGATCTTAAGGAAGTAGAGGTTCACCTCCAAAGAACATCCCTGAGGTTATTGTCCCAACAGGCCTGGTGGTGATGGCAGAACCAGTTTTATAGAATGAGTGAAAAAAAAGTAACATGGTATCTCTTGTCACCAAACACTGTGGGCTGGATTCATATCAGTAATTTACAATAAAAAGTTTAAAGATCATGTCAACTTCAAAATAACTCTTTTGTAGGCATTTGTGCCAATGCATGAGTCACTAAAGAAAAATGGCTGTCACTGAATGTTATTACTTTTATCAATTATGCAAGGCCTCAAATGACCAAAATATTAGTGTGAATGTATCTCAGGTCTTGTACGAGCCTGAGGACAGGCCAAATATAATTCCATCTTGCCACAAACTTTACCACAAGACACAGGTATTCAGGGTGAAATCTGTGAATAATTCACCTCTGTACCCTAGTTCGTCAATAAATGTCTTCATGTCATCCTCTCAGTCAGTGGAAGAAAAACCCTAAACAGCTCTCAAAAACTAAAAGGAAATTAATTCATAGATTTATAATAGAATAAATTTATGAAATTGAGTTAAGTAAATGAGATATTCTTGTAAAAATCACCATCAGAGAAGGTGAGACGTTAATATTTCCCAAACTTCAAGCACCCCAGGGAAAGTGTCTGTGGGCGAGGGAAGTCTGCCTCCCAGAGGAGGTAGGTGGTACTGCACTGAACGCAGGGGTGTGGTAAACCAGCAGGAATAGACTCACAGGATATGAAGATTTTTGTACCTTGAAGAAGGAGAAGAGACAGAAGAGGAGGAAGGAGAGGAGGAGGAGAGGAGGAGGAGGAAGAGATAATGAAGACCACAATAATAATAAAAACCACATGGATGACAACACAGGCTCACAGTGGAGTAATTTGCTTTAATATTTAGAAAGTACCTTTGCATTAATTTCATCTAAGTTTTGTATCATTATCGCATTTCCAAAATTGTTTGGGGTCCAAAAGGCTCTGCTTCTTTGGTTTCTACAAACAGAGCTCAGGCTGGCTGGGTTCTGGCTGATTCTTACTGTCTTATCCTGGTCCAATACCAAAAAACATAGTAGAAAGGATCAATGCCAGGTTTATCGTGTGACTCATTCCCCCATTTATGGGAGGGATTAAGGTGGCGACCAGAAGAATAAAAGGAGGAGTTCTGGGTGCTCCTCTCCAGAGTGACTTCCTTCTTCCAGGCCACATCGGAGACCAGCCAACAAAAGCTGCCTCCACCATGAAGCTGGTGACAGTCCTCATGCTGGTGGCCCTCCCCCTCTACTGCTATGCAGGTGAGTACTGACAGGGACAGTAAGCTTTGGGCTAAAGACTATTTTCAGGACCCCTATGGAAGAATCCGCAGTCCTCAAACCCCTGTGTAAGTCATCTCATTTCTCCATTGTCCATTTTTTTCACGGCTACACAGTGTTTGGCTTCTCTGGACTATTGAAGGATGGAAGGTGGAGGAGGGGTATGGGCAGATGTTTTAGGGCCAAAGGAAATCCCAGATCCTGAATTTACTCTTCTAGAGTTGAAAACTCAAGACCATTCACCATAATCTCTCTGAATGTATGTCTTTACTGTGATGTAAAAAGATGACAAACATAGGTACACCCAAAAAAGGGTCCATAGCTCCATAATTGAGCCCACTTTTGCATGCTTTCATCCCAGGTTCTGGCTGCGCAGTTCTCGAGGAAGTGGTTGAAGAGACAATTGATCCCTCACTGTCCACGACTGAGTATTTGGCAGCTATTCGCGAGTATGTGTCGGATGATGCCACTGCAAAGGCCGCAGTGGAACTGAAGCAATGTTTTCTCAACCAGTCAAATGAAACTCTGAACAATATCAGAGTGATGCAGGTAATTTCGGTTTTTTCTTATGTGCTTTCAAACCACTGGTCAGGGAGACGCAGGCTCGAAGTTTGTCACCAATTATGCCAGAGCAATGGTGAAGATACATTATTTTATTTCAGTGAATTTAATTGTTGGTGAGTGTGAATACTTTGACATCAAGAAAGCCATCAAGGCCCCAATACTGATTTACCTCTTCACTTTGTGGAATCTTTAGTGAATGTTAAATGAAAAAGACAAAAGAGGGAAAGAATGCTCAGACAAAGGCTTACCTACTCCTCAGCTTTCCAGTACACACACACCCTCACACACACACACACCCACAGACACACACACACACACGCACATTTTCTATCAGGTTAAAACATCTGATTCTCAAGAATTTCCTCACTTTTAGGAGTCATCAGCAAAAAATGTCCCCTTCTTCATAGAAACAAATCATGAAACACTCTTAAGAATTTTTCCATAGAGTCCAAAAAATTCTATTTAAGGAAGATTCCATACATCTTATTTAAAGAATTTAAGATGCACTTTCAAGCAATCAAAATTTGTTAGCATAAATAATTGAATCCCTTGACCATTAATTAAAGACCCCATGAACAAAAAGGGCAGATCATGGTGTTACCAAGCAATGGGTTTGCTCTGCTTGCCACGATCTGAGCCAATGAATCACAACAAGTTAGGGATCGAGAAACAAAGTTTTCATTCAATTAGCGAGCAGATGGCAGACTAGTGTCTCAAAAAACCATCTTCAAGGATTACAGAATCTTGAGGCAGTTATGAGAATGTTTGTTTTACAAGATTTTACTTAGTAAGAGAGAACTGAAAATCTAAGTGATGTCTCTGTGTTTGTTTTCCAGCAATCGATATACCAGAGTTTTTGGTGTGCTCTGTATTAACTTTCCACAAGATCTTTGGCTCAGAGGACTACAGAGAACGGTCAGAAATCAACTGTCTATTGCTGTAAACCGCAAATTTTCTTTCTTTTTTTGTCTTTTGAATTACAAACTGCAGGACAATTGTTGAAACCTCCTGTACATTTTCATTTCAATAAAGTATCAGCAAAACCTAAAGTTCTTTTTTTGTTATCTGATTACAATGGAGGCCTTAGAGAGCCTCTTATATCGCATATGTGTGCTTGTGCACACACACACAATTATCCATTAAGAACTTGTGGGTGAGGGGGGCCGGCCCTGTGGCGTAGCGGTTAAGTGCGCTCGCTCCGCTGCTGGCACCCGGTCCGGATCCCAGGCGCGTACCAACGCATTGCTTGTCAGGCCATGCTGTGGCAGGCATCCCACATAAAGTGGAGGAAGATCAGCATGGATGTTAGCTCAGGGCCAGTCTTCCTCACCAAAAAAAAAAAAAAAAAAGAACTTGTGGGTGAGGGATTGAAGAATCTGAAAAGCCATTGTTCCTTCACATCTGTAGCCCGACCTCGATCCTCTCTCTTCCTCCTCTCACCACCTTGCCTCCTCTGAGACTGTCTCTGATGTCCTCAGGCACTGAGGTTCTGCTGGTTGGCTCCTGCTCAGGTTCCTGAGCCACTGCAGGCTTCATCTCCACCCTGAGTCCTGAGCACCATGGCGAGGCTCCTCTCCCGGCTCTCACTGCCCTGATTCAGGTGTGCAGGGCCGGGAATAGAGCCAGCAAGGAAGGTGACTCATCTAAAGCAGGGGTCAATCCTGCGTTGATTTTAAAATTTGATATATGGCATTATTTTGGATATTTAAAAACATTTTATTAAAGTGTTATGTACCCTAATTACTGAGATTTTTGGTGCCCCCTAAATAGAGTGATGCTTCCTAGTCCCGTCCCTGCAAGTGGCAATGTGGTCCATTTGCTCATTCCCACAGTGACCCACAAAGAAATGAAGGTTGAGGGAAATGTGTGTGTTCTGTAGGAATAAAGCAAAGCAAGCAAGTTGTCACTGAACCTGAGCTCTCCTTACTTTATCTGTCCCCACAATCCTGTCACCAGTGATAAGTTAGTGCCACCTCTTCTGCTCACACCTCAGCAGGATCCTCTTCCTTCCTGTGCTGTCCTCTCACCCAGGAAGACCCCTGACTCTTTCTCAGGACAATTCAGCTCCCACCAGGGCTGGTTCTTCCACCAGGTATAACGCATACAGAGAATTAGGCACACCACAATTTCAGAGTTCCACAAAATGTTATAATTTCTTTAAAACTATTAACCAAAAGTGACTATGGTTAATAAATATGTATCAGTGAACCAATGTGGGGTATATTTGTCTTTATACCAATGCAGTGGTAAGATACAATATTTAATATGTTTTTATGGAGAAGTGGCCAAAGGAACCTAAGACTCCCAAAAGTCATAATGAGGCCCTCCCCTCCCCTTCTCCAAAACACCTCAGGGCCCATGACAACATTCGACCCAGGCAAATTGACTGTTTCCTTGAACCTACATCTAAGTTCCCGCCTATCACACACACACACATTATTATTAACTAAGAACTCAAGGACTATGCTCAGTTCTTGATGCTTTTGGTGTATCCTCCCTGTGGAGGGAGGAGATACTGGCTCTCTCTGCTCCCAAGAAACTGGAACCTCAGTCCACCCTCTTTGTTTTGGGCCCTGAGAGGAGAGGAAAATGAAGGAGTCAGATGCAGGAAGTGGAGACATACAACTGGATATGCAGAAATATGCATCTGCTCAGAGATAAGTGCTGGCTCATCTGATATGGGGTGTCTACAATCTTCCAGTGAGGAGTGTATGTTTGATGGAGGAGCAGATGACCCTGTGGTGGGGAGTCAGAAGGAGAAACATGATTGCATCACTGAAATTCTCTTTCTCTAGTAGACGGCTCACCAGCTTAGCAGAAAGGAAAGGCCTCATGATGCTGAGCAATGGCAGCTCCAAGGAGATGCCTTCCCAGGAGTGCAGAATTGGGTGTAAATCTCTACATCTGGCAGGCCCAGGAAGGCCCCTACCCCGCCTCAGTCTCAGCACTTTGACCTCTTTGGCCTGTGTCTGCCTCGGAATATGACTGAGTGGCCCCAGGGGAATGAGGGCACCTATACACACGGTCATGTGTTTCCTGGGTGCACCACTCGTCTGATGATACAGGTGGAGAGTGTCAGACTGAGGGGACTTGTGCCTGCATTACTCTTCAGAGTTGAATGGTGGAGGGTTGTTTTGACAGGGCAAGTGCCAGACTGTCAAGGAGATTGGAGTGTTGACATAAATATTGGAGATGGACATAAAGGGATGCAGCAGTTTCAGAATTCCCATGCCAAATAGCAGGAAGCTAAGGGCCCAAGAAGAGGGGGTTGGCTCTGAAGGAAGGCCCATAGCCAAATATGTCAGATCCCTGCAGTTGCAAAGGGACCCTACCATGAGGGAGGCAGTGTAACTGAAAGCTCCTAAAACTGTCTGGGCAATGAACATTCCAGAGAAAGGGTTCAAAGTAGCTTGAGGGTGATGAGAATGTCTGAAAAGAGTCTTTGAGCCATAAGCTTCCCAGCCCAGCCCCCACCTAAAGACCACTGGGAAACTCATCACTGACCACTGGAGTATTGGCTCAGTGGGGGTGAGGGGAAACTACTCCCAGGTGGTGAAAACAGAGACACCAATTGGCTAATAGGGCCTGTCACAGGTGACTTTTGATTTTCCCAGGGAAAAGCCAACTTAGTCAAGACTCAAGTTGGGGAAAAGTGAATATTCACAGCAATGCTCAGTGTCCTGATAGAAGGAGGAGATTACCTCTGCACATTGTTTAGGGGAACATATATCCCATTGTGAATTCCCCAGTGGAATTAAAATTTTCCATCAGGGGCATGGATGGATCTGAGGATCTTAATCAAGACTGGATGAAGTGTTGTGGAGTCGGAGGTCTGGAGCAGTGCCTCAGCTCAAGAGACACTGGTGGTAAATGGATCCTGCACCCAACACTGATTGTGTGAGGAGATCCAGGGAGAGCATGAACACTTACAAGAGTATTACTCCAAGGATTGACCTTAGCTTAAGGTGTTGGTTAGTGGGCTATAGACCACTGAATGAGAGTGTGCACACTCACTACTCTGAGAGGACTCTGGGTAGAAATTTAATTAAGGAAGTAATGGCTGACATCGTCCTGAATCTGGGAAGGGTAAGGGACATCCAGATTTATGAAGCCCAAAGAAGCCCATTAGGATGAATTGAAAGAAATCTACTCTAAGACACATTATAATCAAATTGTCAAAGTAAAAACAAAGAGAATTTTGAAACAGGCAGTTGAAAAGCAACTCATCTCATAGGAGGAAGTCCCATAAGACAATCAGTGGATGTTTCAGCAGAAACCTTGTAGATCAGAAGATAGTGGGATGATATATTCAAAGTGCTGAAAGAAAATACAGCCAACCAAGGATACTATACCCATCAAAACTACCCTGACAAAAGTGAAGGGAAGGATTCAACAATTCTACTTTGAAGAAAATAGCATAAGAAAATTGGTAACGTTAAGCACAGCCAATTTTACTGCCGTGTACATATAAATTCAACAGGCATATGATGAAAGAGTAGACACACCTTAATGATCATATGGCTGAGGATGGGAGACTATACCAGATGAACTGCCAGTTTAAATACAAAAAATTTTAAAACTACTGTGTACTGGAGGACAACAATTTGCTTCTTTAACATTGTTCTTAGAATAAAGTTTAAAATCCTTGCAAAACATGAAAGATAGATAAAGACTTTCCCAGACAAATATAAGCTGAGAGATTTCATCACCACTCAATTTATTTTACAAAAAATGCCAAACAGAATTTTTCATTGAAACAAAAAGATGCTAAACAGCTACATAAAAGTATATGACAGTATAAAAGTCATGGGAAAAGGTAAATATATAGACAAATATAGAATACTGTAATACTGTAATGGTTGTGTGTAAATCACCTATAATTCCAGTATAAAGTTTAAAAGACAAAAGTATTAAAAATAAATATAACTACATAAGTATGTTAAGGGACACACAATATGACAAGAGGTAATGTGGGATGTCCATAAGATAAAGTGTGAGGAGGTAGCAGGAAAAGTGAAGTTTAGCTATGCAAGTGACATTAAGTTGTTATGAGATCAAATAGACTGTTACAACTATAATATAATTTTTGTAAGCCTCATGATAACCACAAAGAAAACACCAATAGCAGATTTAAAAAAGCAAAAGAAATCTAAGCAAATTTCTACAAAAAAATCGATGAATCACAACGAAAAACCACAAGAGAGGTAAATAAAGACAAAACAATGAAAATCAGAGAGAAAACAATAAGGATAATAGCAAGAGTAAGTTCATCAATACTAATAATTATTTTCAACCCTAAATAGATTAAACTCTCCAATCAAAAGACATAGTATAACTGAAGAGATAAAAAAAAAAGCTGTCTACAAGAGACTCGATTTGTATTTTAGGAAACACATAGGCTGAAAGTGAAAGGATGGAAAAAGATATTCCATACCAATTGTAACCAAAAGAGAGCAGGATTGGCAATACTTAACTCAGATAAAATAGACTTTAAGTCAACAACTGTCATAAGAGACAGAGAAGGTCATTATATACTGATAAAAGGGTCAATTCATCAGGAAGTTATAACATCAGGGTGTCTAATTATATCATGCAAACATAGACTAAACTGAAGGGAGAGATGGACAGCCATACAATAATTGTAGGAGACTTTAATAGCCTACTCTCAATTATGGATAGAACACCCAGACAGGTAATCAACAGAAAATCTGTAGACTTGAACAACACCATAGATCAAAGGGACCTAATAGACATTACAGAACATTCCACCCAACAGCAATAGAATACATATTCTTCTCAAGCACACAGGGAACGTTTTCCAGGAGTGATTACATGTTAGGTCAAAAAACACGTCTTAACAATGTAAGACAATAGAAATCATATCAAGTATCTTTTCCCACCACAGTGGAATAAAACTAGAAATCAATAACAGAGGTGAGAAAT